TGTAAAAATACGTTCATAATTCCTAAAGAATAGAAATATCAATTTCTACTATGCATCAAAGTAAAATAATTATTGGCCCAATCAGAAAATAAAAACTATTCATATTTAGTCATGGAAAAAATATTTGGACAATATATGGCACAGATAAATCAGCAAAGGGCATCTTGCTTTTTTTTAAAATCAAAATCTTAGATAAAGCAGCTATGATGCTGATATGATATTCAGTGAAAAGTGTGATAATCCAGCATTAGTTGGTTTGACATACTTAAAAATTAGATAACCCTTTTGATGACAGTCCTATAATGGAGCTACTAGCATTTCACTTGACAACTGCTTCACATCTATTTGCTACCTTCCATTACTCTTTTGTTTAAAATTTTGCATTGATATATAATTTTTTTCTCATAATTTGATAAAAATGTTGATAAGGTACAGAAATCATTCTGTACAACAGAAATATCATTTTTACAAATCACCAAAAGCTTCAAAAGAGAAAATCATAATGCAAAATATGTTGAATCCATAGGCAGTAAGAGAAATGAATTGTGACAAAGATAATTCAATAAATATCATTTAGTATCAGGCTGGTGAACAATTTCTGAAATTCATTGAAAGAAGAAAAAACTTAACATAAAATTACAGATATAATAAATATTCATACTTTAATAGAATGACACTGCAAGGTGCCTTTATTTTTAATTAAACAGTTATTTTATGTTTTGGATCTTTACTGTCACTTTTCCCTTCTGTTTTCCCACCCAAATGCAAATTTATTTTGTGTGTATTTAAGTTGACTATTTTAGATTGTAAGACAGAGCATATTCTGCCTCTTAAAGCCACAGATTCCAACTAAGATTTTAACCAGATTCCAACAAAGATTTGCAGTCTTTGGCCTTTTATCATAATTACCAATACTTGATATCCAATAGCTGACTGTCGATAATCAAGTTTTGAGCCAACTTCACGTTAAATTGATTTCGGTAGTGTTTAACTACTAGCTTAGTTGAATTTAAATTTTACATTTAACTTACTGTATTTAAATTATCTCACCACAAATATTTAGCTGAGTTGTATGCAAAAAGCGAGTCCTCTATTCTTATTTAGTTTTAAATAAAGTCTTTTACACATTTCTAGAGTTTCATTTGTTACTTAGTGATAATTTGCTTAACATCTACCAAAAGTTCAGACACTTTGGCTGATTGCAAAGAACACTAAACAATATAGAATTTTTTTCTTTTTTAAAGCAGGAGGAATTTTTACGAAGTATTTAACTTACGGGAAGACTTTATGCACTGGTAACAATGACTTCAAAATATAAAAATGTAATTAAACTGTAAATAAATTTACTTACAAATAGTTGTTACTCATAAAATATGCTCTCAATATTGCTACATATAATTCTTTTCATTCCTAAATACATTCAAAAACATTTTAATCAAAACCAATAAAAATGGCAATTTATACTGGTCGTTTAAAACGAGAGCTGAAATAGAAACTAACCTCTATGATCACTCATTTAAGAGATATTTAACCATGCATATTTTTTTAAATGATCTATACATTCGGATATTTCATAAGCAAAGTTTGGGGAGAAGTCAATGATTAAGTTCCTGATCAACAATGATACATTATTTTCTCAAGTAGATTACAGTCAAAAGTCTTTAATCCGGAATGACTTATAATCCGGACCTCAAAGCTACAAACTTTCTGCTCATGCGTAAACGCATTAATGCGCATGCACATATGTTAACGCATGCGCATTTAATGTATAACGGACGTTATAAGCTAAGCTAAAATTATCTAATTATCTATTTCAGTTAATGTTGCAGATTGTGTTGTTCCTTAATCTTCTAACTGGATCTGGCTTATTATATTTTGCAGACTGTTAGAGCAATTTTATAAAAGTAACCTTGAACTTTTGATTATGTCAAAAAGATTTCCGATCCTGGATCTACAAAAGCAAAAGCATGTTTCGATGTCCATCAAACAAAAGTGGAATTGCTGCAAAAATGTAAAGCATATCATTGATCTATAACCATCCGAAATCTGTTTATGAATTCACGCTACTCGTGTGGGCGGGGGGGGGGGGGAGGGACGCACGCGCAATGACGGAAGACATCTGTCAGCACTATCTTATCGTCAGAGCAGGTTTTTTTTTATCGGTTATAATCTTTTTAAATATAGTTTTATCTGATGTACTCCTTTGATATGATAAAATAAAATTTGTTATAATACACAAATACACATCAATAGTTTTCTGTTGCATTTTTCATTTCGACTCGTGTAATGTAGCTTTACGCATGCACATGTGAAAGAAATGTTTAATAAGTAAACAAATAATATTAAGCTTTTTTTGGTAAATTCTGATACCCTTTAGATCATATTGTCTTATTTCAAAATACGGTTTCATATTTTTAATTTTATAATTTCTGCATGCCATCTTACCAGATTTAAACTGATGATCTATCGACTCTCCGATAATTCGGAGTCATCGAAGTCCCCACGAGTCCGGATTAAAGACTGTATAAGAGAATGGAATATAACAAAGATAAGCTAGACTGTATTTAATATACTAAAATTTACTGCATATCTGATATCACCTAGTGATATTTGAAAGCACAAGATTTATTTACCAGTGTGACTACTTCAATTAAAATTTATGCTGTTTTACTGCTTTTTCACTTTTACATCTTGCATGTTATAAAATTCAAAATAAAATTTGAACATGTGCATATTGTAGAAATCAACACCTGTGTGTGTGTGTGTGAGAGAGAGAGAGAGAAGACAGGATCTTAAAATTAAGTATGCAAGATATATCATGCAAAATAATCTTATAAGATATCAAACTATTCAAAAATTATAATTGTAAGAATATGAATTTTCTTTGACTTAAAATTTTTCATTGAAAATAATTTTAGTGAAATACTCTATACATTAAAAGAAATGAAATTATGTATTATATAAACATTGATTAAATGGTTATGTAAAGTGTTTAAAATCGACTGCTAGTAAAAATAATCACTTAAGTGGTTGGACAATGACCCACGGTTCCAATCTGAAAATGAAGCAAACAAAATACGTTTTCTATTTGCTCATTTGTATGGATAATTAGTGAAACAAAAATAGAAGAAAAAATTATAATATAGATCGAAGAATAAAATCTAGAGTAAAAAAACATATACTGCTAGTAAAAATAATCACTTAAGTGGTTGGACAATGACCCACGGTTCCAATCTGAAAATGAAGCAAACAAAATACGTTTTCATATTATGATCATTTTGTTAATGTGATAATTAGTGAAAACAAAATACTAGAAGTAAAAACATAGATTTTTAAATGAATTCCTTGGAGAAAGAAGAAAGAAGGTTTCCCCCCCCCTTCCCATACCATATCAAAAATGGTCATACAAACATTGAGAAGAAATTATTCTCATTTTATCAAAATTACCCAAAATACCATAAAAACTAAAACTTTTGGGATCTGTAGCCATAGTTGCTACAGATACCTATGTATAATATGTTTCTGCATGGATATTTCTAAAAAAATCTTTTTTATGTTACAGACACAAAAATTTACAAGCAATGGTTTTGAATTAATATTTATACAAAATCTAAAATTTGAAATTTTAGACTTGAAGAAATTTATCGCTTTGACTCCTAAATTAACATTTTTTGTTGTTTCATTAAAATGGTTGGCTTGCCCCCCCTTTTTTTTACCCTAAAACGCTTTTTAAATGATAAGGAACAATTAATAATTGGAATATTTTTCACACAAAATATTCCAATTATGTATAAAATTTAAAATTTCATATATTTTTTTTAAACGATGGCATATGATTGAAGCGACCAAATTTCGCTGAAGTTGATGCAGAGCAAGAAAATTTCAGCAACTGAGAGGGGGGGAAAAGCGTTTTACGCGTAACTTTATTATTTCCAATAATTAACATGTTTAGTTAGGTTTTCAGTTACTCATGTGTTACTGTAAAACTGCCCAAACAGACCCACAATTCCAAGCAATTTTGGTTTTTTGAGAACTTGAATTCAATATCAGTTTTTATGTTCATAGAAATACTATCAACTTTTAGAGGTGATTGCTAAAGCAGGTTTATTGTACCTGTTATTAAAATAACTCTGAAGTTGCAATTATTCCCTACACGCAGAGTTCAGTTATTAATGCTAAAGATTTGAAAGAAACAGGATTGCTTTGATTACAAGTATAACCTCACTTCATTATGCTCAATTTCAATTTCATACCCAAATATTATTTTAATTTTTTAGGTGTTTTATAGCTTTCTAAATACAATAATGCTAAAATATTTCATTGACTAATCTGTTATCAGATAATTATCTTTTGTCAAAATAGTTTTTACTAGATGTTAAACTCTTTTTCTTTTGCTTGTATTTTACAAAAAATGAAAAAGATGATCCATTACAAATTCTTCAGAAGATTTCATGGTTCATTTTCTAAGAATAAAACATGTCTGAAATTAAAATCCAGGAATTCTTTCACAAACCAGTCGGTCTTCTTATGGACTTCGAGAAATCTTGAAATGTATACTTCAAAAGTGCAATAATCTGATTATCAAACATACTTCTGATCACATAAAAGTCCTACTAAATATATTTTCTCTTTATAATCGCATTCAGCAGCATATGAAACTCATATAAACTATAATCACAAAACCAAGTGTGTTTATATCGGTTACTTTATACTTGGCCAAAGTTATGATAATCTATTCCATTCACTTTTTAAATTAGAACCATGGATTTACAACCAACCACTCAAAAGACATTCTGGCTGTGCACCTGTTTTGAAACAACTGATACTACTACACACTTCTCTTATTTTTACAGACTGACATAAAAAACAACCATAAAATATTTACAATAAAATACAATTTTACAATAGTTTTTTTTAACAGGATCAAAACATATGAATTACAGATAGTTGTTAAGTTATGACAGTTAAGTCTTTATTATAAAATGCAGTCTAAATTTTACCTGCCATATACCGCAAGCTCACAATTCTATATGCAGTGTAGAAGCATATACCACCCATAACAAACATAATTATCATGCCACAACCAAATCCAGCCTTTAAATTAAAATAAAAAATAAT